GAATGAAGCGGGCGGTGGAGAATCGGGGAGGGAGAATCTCCCGGTGCTCAAATTTCTCCGAGAACCGCGTCGCCTCTACGTGGTCGCTGAACCAAAGGAACGACCCGTCGAGGTACTTGTGCGCCGGTGGTGGAGGAGCCGAGGAAGAAGCCACGTTCTTGCCGGTGCGGGAACGCTTCCTTTGACCGCCTGCCATTGCAACAAAGAGTAGGGGGCAGAGCAAGGCAAAGAGAAAATTGCAGAAATTTTGAAAGAAAATGAAGAATAGGAGCAAGAATGATGGATTATGATGAATATATGGAGAAAATATGATTTGAGTGAGTATAAAATGAATAGAGATCACCAATTTATAGAGTAGAAGCTTTGGAGATTCGTAGAGGTGGTCAAACAGGCATTAATTGCTCTCCAACGTCTCTGCAACGGTAAGATTTTTGAAAAATCGCCGTTGATAATCGATTTTGCACATATAAAATCTGGGTACCCTTGTACGGTAGTGGATTCTGGGTACCCTTGTACCTTTGGACGGTAGTGGATTCTGGGTACCTTTACACAACGTCTCTGCACGGTAGTGGATTCTGGGTACCCTTGTACCTTTGGATATCTGGCTCCATATAAAGATAAAAGTGTTCGATATCACATTCCAGATTTCGCAAGAGGTCGTAAAATCGGCAAATTTCCTCAAGGCATTAAAGAGTTATTTAACTATCGTCACTCCTCTTTGAGAACAACTATAGAGCGAACATTTGGAACTTTGAAGAACACATGGAAAATATTGCACAACAGGATGCCTCAAATGAAACAGGAGCACCAAATTCAAATTGTTATTGCAACATGCACTTTGCACAATTTCATTCGTCTTCATCGAAAGGGAATACCAATTTCATTGAGGCAGCAAACAACTCAAGATAGGCCCAAGGCGATGCTGTTTAATGAACAAACTAAAGATGCAATGAAACAGTTTAGAGATGAACTAGCACTTAATATTCTACAATATAGTTAAACTTAATTGAAGGTGCTATATTTTAGATTAAAATATTGATGTTTACCTTATATAAATTTAGATTAAAAAATATTCTACTCCCTCCGTCCCAAATTATTTGCCACATTTGTATTCCCGAGGCAAAATATTAAATTTTTTCAATTCATTTTATTTACATATTGGTATAGAAATAAAAAATAAAATTTACATATTAAAAAACTACATGAAAAGTTTTTCGAAATAAGAGGTGTCAAGAATATTTTATTTTATCAAATAATCAATGAAAACATCGAAATAAACAAAAGTTCCCGCGACTGTTGAAAAAGCAAATGTTGTGAATATTTAGGGACGGAGGGAGTATATAACTATTTAACCATAATTTTTTAAATAGTTTCCTATTTTTTTCTTGTAGATTAATATACAAAAAATGGTATTATTCATATTAAAAAGTTGAAGAAAAAATAATGAATATGAATCATAAAAATAGTGAGATGACAAAATGAAATAATTTATAAACTATAGTTATGAACATAAAAGTTGTAATTAAAAAACTGTAATAATAATAATAATATATTTTTTTAGAGTGATTTGTCAGAAAGTAGAAAGAATTTGAAGAAAATAAATATAGTTGGAAGAAACTGGAAAAAACTGGAAGAAACTGGAAAGAATTGAAAAAAACTTAAAGTTAAGAGTTCAAGTCTAAAAGAACAGGTCCTAAATTTTTAAACTTGAAATATTAAGCATATTACAAAAAAAATTACACAGGCCCATAATGTTGATTTACCTAGAAAAAGATCGGCCCAATGTTACAGTAACCGGCCTAAAATTTTAGGCGGGACAATTTTTCTACTGCTAGGATATAGGATTATTTTCAATTGAAATAAACATTTTAAAATAAAAAATGAGACAATTAGAAAATCGATTGAGATAAAGGCCCACAAGATGTATGCTTTAAAACGGGACACTCAGAAAATCAATTACACAGCAGCGTTGGCAACCATGGACGACACCGGGGCATACTATACCCCTCTCGCCCAGTACTCGTATTACCAGCAGCCTCCTCCGCCACCGCCTGGGACGGCGCATCAGCCGCCGCCACCAATTCTTCAGTTGTCTCATCACCAACAACACCACCCTTATCAATCGACGGTAGCCACCTATGCCGCTCCGCTCTACGCTCCTCCGCCGTCCAACGACGATGTCCGAACACTATTCATCGCCGGCCTTCCCGAAGACGTCAAGCCGCGAGAGATTTACAATCTTTTCCACGAGTTCCCGGGATACGAGTCTTCCCATCTCCGTAGCCCTTCATCGAATACGCAGGTATCTTAACAGCTCATAGATCTGATCGTTATTTTAGAATGCATCAAATCATTGCGAGTTGATAACATTTATATCCCCAAGAGGGGAGTGTCACCGATCACAGCAAGGATTAGTATATTTTTTGCTTTTTCCAGTTAGATTCGTAGCTAAACTATAATTTTTAATTTTTTATAGTCCTTGATCGATAAGTTAAACTAGTACAGAAGCTCTTTATTGTTGTTGCAACTTGCAAGCAAGCTTAATGTTATTATAATGCGAGGACTATGTTTGAAATTGAATAAAAACTTGAGGGGGGAGGAGCCACTAGTATTGTGACAAATAGTTTAAAATCAGTCTATTTATAAACATATGGTATTGTTTGAAATTTTTGAAGAGAATAGACTTTATGCATTTATCTATAGGTACCAGATAATATACTGTTTTGAATTTTTTCTAGAGTAATGTCTTGTGTTGTTGCAATGTGGATTTGAATTCTCACGTGGCTTTCTATGCGCCAGCCATTTGCATTTGCAGTCTTTGTCGATCAGCCGTCTGCACTTGCTGCAATGTATGAACTGAATGTAAGTTAGTTTTCTTTTTTCTAATCTGCATATATGTATATTTATGAAGTCATTTAGCTGATGGAGCACATGAGCCCTCCTTGGCTTGAGTTGACTTTAAAGTCATTGTTGGTTATGTGTTTTTGGGATAAGCAAGACATTTCTTACATGTTGATTGCAGGGACTAGTATTTGACCTTGAGAAAGGCTCCACTTTGTTTATCGATCTTGCAAAATCCAATTCCAGGTCAAAACGCCAAAGAACAGGTGTGTTTGCAGTTTGATGATATTTAATTGGGACCAATTCAAAAAGTTTAAGGTGCATTGGGATGATATGATAAATCAATCAAGTCTTTTAGTACTGTGTTAAATACCCTCATTAACGACTCTCACTACCATCACTGCGGTAAAAGAGTAAATTACATTGTATAATAAGGGTAGATTGGGCAAATTTTGTTATTTTACATAGATTTCATAAATGGATATATATAAAGAAACAAAAACAGTGGTCATTATAGACATTAATAAGAATGGAGGGAGCGTATTGTAAATAAATAAAGAATCACCTGAAAGGGTTAATTTTCAATGTGCAGATGATGATAGGCCTGGATCAGAGAAAAGTAAGAAAGGGTCTGCAGCCGTTTCAAGGGTCATTGAATCTGGTATTATATCAACCCTGCCTTTTTTATTGCCTGTTCAATGATAATGAATATAAATATCCAAAAATCTGCATGCATGCAAAAGTTGGGTATGTATGCTGTTAAATCACACTATTTCAGTAATTTGGTAATGTGATGCTTCTGTTTTAAGTCGTATGGAACTGATTCGGTCTCATGGTAGGAAATAATAGATAGTTAGTCACTGCTGAACACATTTCCTGAAGGGCTCACATTGCACATCTTTTGCACGCTTGGGCACTAGCAGGTGTTGGCAACATTCACATTCCTGGAATGGGTAGTTCTGCTTACAACACAGTTGGTTATCCACCCACACAAAGGTCATCTGCACTACTTAAGCACAATCCTTTCTTACCTGGAAGTGATTTGCTTCTCACCGGATAATGTGGTTTAGTTTTTTTATTCACATCTAGCTGAAAGGTTAAGGGCCGAGTATTAGAAGTTACTGTGTGCCCTTAGAATTATGGAATATCTTACCGCAAACTATATTTGGTCATTCTAATTTTCAAATGCTCATGTTCAGTTATACTAATTTTGATGGAAGATCTGTGAATGAGAGCAATGCATACAAGGTCAGGTTTTCGTTGGTGAACCAATGTCCATTTTCTCTTTTAAAGATTAAGTGAAGTTGTAGGGTATAATATCCCTTTGTATTGAACAGAATGCTGCACCATGTCCTACACTCTTTGTGGCTAATCTAGGGCCTAATGCTTCAGAACAAGAGCTTAACCAAGTGTTTTCAAGGTTCCAAGGAACGCCTTTTCTACTTAATGTTCTGGCAAATCATTTTTCTTCACTATTGTAAAAAAAATTCTTACGTTTATTAGATGCCATGGTTTTTTAAAGTTGAAGATGCAGAGCACCTATGGAGCTCCTGTTGCTTTTGTTGACTTTAAGGTATTTTTCAAGAATATTACAACAGTTCAATATCAGAATTTCTTGCTACTCAGTAAAGTTTTATCCTAAAGCACATACTTTTGTTTTGCTACGCTGCTAAAACATACAGGATACTGCTTGCTCAACGGAAGCTCTGAGTCATCTTCAGGGGACTCTTCTTTACTCCTCACCCGGAGAGGGCATGAGACTAGAGTATCCTTTGATTTCTATCATTTGCGTAAGTCCATTGAACCGCCAAAAAAGAAAAGCAAGAAAAAGCAAAAAAAAACACTGACCGTTGTCCTTCATGATTTTATGTTCCCTTGTTTTCTGGTCTTGTTTTTCCTTGACATTATCTCGAGATATGCTAAATCACGGATGGGAATGCGCAGCAAAAAGTCCAAATAAAAAAACAGGCACGACCGAGTTTCAGGTTCTGTATTGTAGTACCCTTTGAACCAAAGTTAGATCATGGTCCATTTTGGAAGGCAAGCAACCAGGTGAATCATGAATGTGGGGAAAACAAGTGGACATAAGAAATGTTGGCAATCGGTTGAGTATGTGTTATTATTTGAAGCAGGTAGAATTGGAACTACACAGTATGAGGCTTTGTTTGGCGAAACAAAATAGATTCATTATTAATGCCTTTTTGCTTGGTAAGTGTCAACACATAAGCTAGCTTATAAGGTTATTATATTAGTTTCTTTGGAGCTATTCAAATAAGTTCCATTTGGCATGCCGACATCTTTGAAAGACTAAATGTTGGTTTCGAGTCATTTCCTTTAACTTCTACCTAAACGACGAACGTGGGTGTGATTCTTCTTAGTTTGAATCCTTGGTTGAAGAATCTCATCTTGCTCGGGAATTCTTTGTAAGAAGTGATAGTTTTGTTCATGTATGAAAAACTTGGTTATTGGGTATTTGGTAGTTTAATGACTTAATTTTGGAGTACACCCTAAGCTGCATCTGACCAAATTCTAACACCTATGAAGACATTTTCTCTACTTCATAGCTTCAGTAACAGTCATGTGCAAGATTAATATTCAAACTGGTTGGATGTCACATTTACTAAAAAATGAACAGTTAGGCATTTAGGGGTGTTGGGTCAAATACAAAAAATACCATTATTCTGCATTTAGCATACTGAAACAATTTATGATATGGTATCATACTGAAATGCTTTTGTGCGATATTAGCATGAATTTTAATAATTTTGGTATATGACGAAATACAAATGTCTTATATGAACACATGTAGATATAAAAAAAATTGGGTATCCCATTTTTTAGTACGTTGGTATACCATATTTCTCTTTTTGGCAAGTATATCACAACTTTTTTGGCGAGACAAATATTTTTGGTATATTAAAATTTTTATATTGGATAGTTTTGGCTTCAGCATATGTAAATTTCATATTTTCATTATTACACTAAAATAGTAGAAACTCTCAAAATACCAAAAGTTTTGGTATTATAGACTGCAAATTTCATTAGTTTAATGAAATAATTGAATTGTAGAATCAAATCCATATCCATATCCAATCCATTTTAACTTAGATCAACACCAATCCATTTCCAAATCAGACCAGATCAGGTTTGATTAAGAGCAATTTGATTATCATTTATAAACAATTACCATTTTTTCCATTTTCATTGACAAGTTTCACAATTTATTTCCAAGATTGCTGCGTTTTTATTGACTTAGTAACTATTCCCTCAGTCTCAAATTAAATTGTACGTCTACTATTTACAGCTTCAAATTTCATTTACTTTTTTCACCTATTTCCGTTACTCATTTGATAATATAATATAGTCTTATCACTTCTTATTAGAGTGAGCAAGTATCGAATCGTTCCGAAAATTCGATAAAACCCCAAAAAAATCGAACTGAAAAAATACCGCAAACACTGAACCTTTCCAAACTGAATGGTCGGTTCGGTATTTTGGGAACAGTACAAGGTGATTTCTCATACCAAAAATCTTGTGTCAAACATATATACTAATTTATTATAAATATAATAATATTTTTATATTTTTTCATCAAATAATAAATTTATTTTAAAATTTTGGTTCAATTTTTATTACGTGTACATTGTACTTTTTTTTATTCAAGTTTTAGTTTTTGGTATATGAATTTAAAAATATTGACAAGCATTTGAAATATTATTTTGTTATCATCTTTTCCCTTTAGTTTGTGTAATATAAGGTGAATTTCATAAGTATTCCTTGAAATTAATTATTCATTTTTATTTTTTATGTTTATTTATATGTGCTTCCGATTTTTTTAAACAATAGGTTTTGTTACACTTTAAAGTGTGATTTGGCTACGTATGTATTCATCTCCATTTGTACAACAACCAATGTTGAACCATCCCAAACCATATCGAACCAAAATTTCAATATCGAGATTCGTAGAATGTAAAATCTCATGCTTAATCGAAATACTTTTTGGTATGATATCTATACGAGTTAAATACTGCGTCATATCGTAACATGCTCACCGCTACTTATTTTGTAGAACTTTTGATATAGTTTCTAAATATGTAAATTTTATTTTTTAATTCCACCCCAATTTTTGTATAAATTAAATTGAAAAAAAAAACTTCAACTAAATATCGTAAATCAAAACAAACAGTTTAAATTACGACAAAGGGACTAAGGGAGTTCAAAATATTGGGAAGTGGTTGGTCTCCGGATTGTAAGCTACAAACTCATACGTCCTCTCCCTTCGATAAGTTTTGTTTATTTATGTGTTTTAATTGAGTATTTGATAAAATAAAATACTTTTGTCACCTCTCGTTTTGTAGAACTTTTGAAATAGTTTTTTAATATGTAATTTTTATTTCTTTTTTATGTACCAATTTGTATATAAAATGACTTCAAAAGACAAGAAATTTTACCTTGTAACTCCCAATTTGTAATCAAATTAGGGACGGAGGGAGTACAACATTATGCAAAATGGAGTAAAATTTTAAGTTTTTTCAATTTATTTTATTTAAAGATAGGTATAGAAATAAAAAATAAAACTTAAATATTTAAAAACTATGTCAAAAGTTTTACAAAATAAGTGGTGACAAAAATATTTTTTAAATAAAAAATCAATGAAAATGCAAAAATAAACAAAAGTTCTTATAATCTTTGAATAATAAATTGCAACATTCTTTTTTGGACGGAGGGAGTATATAAGAAATTAAGAAGTCGTAATTATCTATTAATTCATGGGTTATTTAATTCATTTTTGGAACATCATTTATTCATTTCTCACTAACGCTCCATTTTTTATTTGTAACAAATATATTTGGAGAGTTATAGTGAGTAGTATTTCAATAATAGTAGCCTACTTTTCAAAAATAACCTTCACCCTTTTTAATTTGAAATTCCAATTTATTTCCTCAAAATTCTCCCCAACCTTTATGAAAATATCTTTACCAATATTTAAATGGCCAAATAACTCCGGTGCCTCCTGTGGTTTGGAAAATTGGCACCAAAATCACCCTGTTTTCAAAACTTATTTCTAAAGTCCCCGTGGTTTCAAAACGTTGCACCCACACCCCCTCTAATCATTTTCCAGCCATTTTCTGGCGAAGAGGGGGCATTAACGCATAATTTCTAAACCATATGGGGCATTCGTGCTCATTTCTTATTTTAGTTTATAATTTGTGTTTTCCCTTTTTTTTAATATTTTGTATCTCTTTTTCCTTTTCCAAGATTTTTTTTAAAAATATTTTTTCAATTTTTATAATGTTTTAAAAATTTTAAAATTCTTTGTGTTCGAAATAAAAATAAAAATAAAAAAAATTAACATACATTACATCTATCTCAAATTAAATATTTTCACTTTTTTTTAGAATAATTTTTTGGAAAGTTCGAAAAAACCCAAAATAAAAAAATAAAAATACGGAAAAACGAAATGAAAAAAAATTAAAATACGCAAAAAAAGTCTTATACAAAAAAAATTTGGACACGCCTAAAAAAGTCCTTAGAATTGAGATGTCCAAAAAAGATATTCATTTTAATTTTTGTATTATTTTTTTCTTATTTTATTCCTCATTTTTTCAAAGTTCTCAAAAAAAATTCCTTTTTTTCAGAAAAAAACAAAAATTGTTAATTTCAGACGTACATATGCATTATATTTTATTTTTTCAAAAAAAAATAACTTTAAATTTTAAGAATATATATTATAAAAACAATTTTAAAAAACCCTAATTAATAAATGAAACAAAAAAGGAAAAATGGAAAAAACAAAAAATAAACGAGAAATAAAAATCAGTACTAATACCCCCCATGGTTTAGAAAATATGCACCAATGCCCCCTTCTTCGCCGGAAAAATGGCCGGAAAATGATCAGAGGGGGCACGGGTGCAGCATTTTGAAATCACAGGGACTTTAGAAATAAGTTTTAAAAATAGATTGGTGCCTGTTTTGCAAACCACGAGTGGTACCGACGATATTTGGCCATATTTAAATAGCAACCGTTAAAAATATGGAATATCTAAGATAAAAGGTCGCAAGAAATGTTCTTACAACAACAACATACGGAGTATAATTCAAACAAACTGGACTTAAGTTGTGACAACTCAATTGCAAATATAGAAATGCAACTGTTTGACAATCCACGGCTAACCAAAACCATCGGTCAGATGCATCTTTTTTTGTACTCCCCCGAAGATATTATCTGCAGTTTGTACTCTGTACAATCGAGTTGAGTTTCGGGTCGAGTTGGTAAATTCCATGATTCAAACACAACCGGATTTAATTTGGATTTGGGTTTTAAGAAGATCGGATTCGAATAACTGTCTCAATTCAAATTCAGATGTGTTAAGATTTGTTTGGATCGGTTAAGGTCATATTTGTTTGGATTGTCATCCCTAAGGGGGATGGGGTTGGAAAAAATAGGGGCAACGGCAAATATGGACATTGATGCCAATGTGTGGCTAGGGATGGGAAGGGAGGAACCGGCATCTCTAGGGTTAGGAAGGGCGCGCAAGTGAAGGGGGCAACGCCAAGAGAGGGGAAGAAAAAGAGAGAAGGGAGCCGATGAAAGGGGACAAAATAGAAGAAAAAACAAGAACGACGACAGATGTTGAGGGGGAAACAAGTTAGGATTAAATTAGGGTATACAGCCATAACAACCCAGTTAAATCTCGCGAGAGTAGGGGGTAAATTAGGGTATATTATAAATATATGTGCAAGAATATTTTGATACATACACATTAATGATTAGTGATGTAATGAAATCCCTTTTTCAATCAAGCAGTACCGAACTGAAATGCATATCACTTCTCTGATTTACCAAACACACTCAAGCCTGTTGGGTTCTACATTAGAGTATATTTATTATGCAAACTCACTTCTACATACATTTATTATGCAAGGATAAGACAATAACAAGATCTACATGCAGGAAGCACGATATACGACATGCTTATTATTATTATACATAAATAAGAACCTGGCTGCGAGTGTGTGTCATTGATGCAAGAATCCTTCCCTTCCTAATGATGGTTGGGGCCGATAAGCGAGAGAAGAAAAGCTCGATAATGGCCAGAAGTTTCTGAATGGATCGCATCGTTGAGAGTTTTCTTGTATTTCTTGGCGTACTCTCCTTTGATGTAGAGCATGTCAATCTCCGCTCGCGTCACCACGATTCTAGTTAGTGTTGCCTCGTCTGTCCCCAACCCTTTCATTGCCTTGTGCAATGCCTGTTGCAACTCATAGATGTGAATACCATATATACGGCAAGGTTCCGTTGACATTATCATCTAGTGTTAACGGATGACACTCGCCTATTTTGAACACCTCCGGTGCTCTGTTTCCAAAATTGATGGTCCCTACCCTCCTAACCCACTACCTAAGCCCCCACCGCACCCCCACCCCACCCCCACCCCCGCACCCCCACC